TTCGTTAAAAGAAAAAAAAAAAAAAAAAAAAAAAAAAAAAAAAAAAAAAAAAAAAAAGTAGAAGTCCAAAGAAGTCCCAGAGAAAGAGAGAAAAAAGGGGGGAGGGGGGGTGTATCGGTACGTCTCAAGCAGCCATAAGGGGGTTTGTAAGTGTGGGTTCCTCCAGCTGGTTGACGGGTGAGCTCCGTCTCTCTCTCCCCGCACTGCTCCTCTCCTCTCTGCTCTTCTGAACTGTCCCGCACCGCTGCGCTGCGCCTGGGAGCTCAAGTGTTGCCCCCTTGTTTCAGCCGCGTCACGCAGAGTCCCGTCAAAGTCAGAGGGGGGCAATGCTGATGGGGCTGTGGGGTGGGGAGACTACCAGCCCTCCGCCCGGCCTGTCACTCACGTCCCGGACAGCAGACCCGGACAAATCAGAGGAGTCCGCTCATTACAGCCGGCCCCTGTTATTGGCCGGGGGAGGGAGGAAAAGTTGAAGGGAAAACTTTCACGCCTCCAACTCCCGACACACTGGATTCTTTTTTTTTCCCTTCTTCTTCTTCCCTTTTTTCATTCCCTGAGGGAAGGATTAAAGCGCGAAATCCAAACTGCATTTGAGACTGATGAAAGCCTAAATGGGATGGAATTTGATCTTAATTTTGCTGTCAGTCTGAATGTTTGGTGTGAATATCGGGGACTCAGTGACAGGTGAGCTTGAAGTTGAGCATATGGCTCACAGCCCAGGGCGCCATTCTATGAGCCCAGAGGGGGAGGATGTACATTTACCTTTTTCTCTTTTTCTGTTGTAAAGTGTGTTGTCCACAGGACTGTCCAATACAACTGGCTAATGATAATAATATGATTTCTAATTTGAGAATCAGGTTTAGCACTAAACCTCAGGACTATAGTTTACTGTTTTCCTGACCAGCGTTAACTCTATTTGATCACCTCTGGTTCAAAATACAAAATACTACAAATTTTATACTTTTAATTTTGCCTTTGCTGCAATGAACAAAGACTCTGAACCACAGTTTGAGATTCTTCTTTGTTCCTCAGTCTCTTTATTTGATTAGATCAGCCTTATTTCTGTTTCACTTTAGCTCAGTCCTCCTTAGTGATTCTAGTTTATTGTGTTTATTTCTTGTGTCTAGTTGTTCTATTACTAGTTTTATTATGTTCCTTATGTCTAGACATTCTTCAGAATTCGATTCATTTCCTAGTTCCTTTTGTACTCTCCCACACCCTGCCAATTCTCTCTCTCTCTTTCTGTTCCTCTCTTTCTCTCTCTCTCTCTTTCTCTCTCTCTCTCTTTCTCTCTCTCTCCCCTCACACCTGCAACCCGTTTTTAATTAGCCATCTGTTCCTTGTTCAGTAATCAACCTCACCAGTATGTACACAACTCATTTTTCAGTTCCTCTTTGCTGGCTTCTCCCATCATATTTTGTTATTTCCTTTTTATTTCCTCTACTTCCCTGGTTTACCCTGCTGGCTTTTTTTTTTCTTTTTTTGTTCTAGATTCCCATTTTTGTTCAGCTCTGGCTCATTGTGTTCCCTGTGGTTTTTGTAAGCTTTTTCATATTTTTTTTTTCATTAAAACATTCAATGTGATCTGTGCTCCCAGTTCCTATCTGCATTTTATTTCATGCACAAACTCACAACTCATGACACAAACTTAATTTTTTATGTATAGTTCCTACATTTTGATTAATTGTATAACATTTGGTATTCTGTCTGATTTGCTTTGAATTGACTGATTGATTTAAAGCCAAAAAAATAGATTGAGACCATGTTTGCTCACAGTCATGAA